CTGCTGCAGCAGAGTTCCCCAATCACCAGCTGATCTCACTTGGCTCTACAGCAAGCTTGTTCTGCACAGCACACTAGCTCCTCTGGAGAGGTAGGCCTCAGGAAGAGGGGGGTCTAAGAGAAATGCGGAAGGGGGAGAGGATTGCTCTCCTTATCTCCTACAAAATGGAGACAGAAGTTGCGGCTGGGAGCTGTCATTGTAAATGTGTCTTTATTTACTTCTCCCTTAAACAAGTTGTCTAGGGGATAGTGCAAGAAAGAAAGGACATGCCTGTTTGGAGGCTCCATTTGTAAATCATTAACAACAGCAACGCGGCTACTTCAGGCTACCTCAGTACAACAAGATACTTCAGTGTGAGCCTGGCTATATTTCATTCTGCTAGTTTAAATGTGAGGTCAAAGCCCTAGGGAGACAATAAAGGAGAAGTGTTAATATGCCATGTGAATAAGGAACTATGATTAATCTCCCTACATCTGATGAGTAATTGACTCTTTCTTGAAACTCTTAAATAAACCCTGTAATAAACAGCCAATGGAAAATGTATGTACCGCTGCCACCTAGCAGACTCCATGGGGCTCAGTGGTGTGTTGTAGGGCCTGCGCTGCTGGGAGTTCACAGGCTTTTATTTTCAGCTCCAGTGTCAGGAGGAAGAGAAGGCCTGGCCCACCAAACACAACAGTTGTCATGCTGCCATTCTGCAGCTTGGTTTTTGGCCATGCCCACCTCCTCCAGTCACAGTCAGGTTCAGCTCGGGCTCCAGGGAGCTTCCTACGAGACTGTGAGAGTGTATGTCTGGAATTTGGGGAAACCAGTGTGAATTTTACCTACCAGACCCTGCTGTCTGAAGAGCTCTGCAGACTGTACTGGGCAAGAAATGCAGGGTTTTCTGCATTCATCCATGGCTGCCCAATTAGTTCATGCATGAGAGTCCAATTAATTTATGCATGAATGCCCCATCAGTTCAAACACGACTGCCCTGTTAGTTCATGCTTGAGCATCATCTGTGCCGTAAGTTGCAAAGTTTTGATAGCAGAGAGCTGATTGCGAACGCAGCCCCAGCTACAGCCCTGCAGAGATGGGAACATTGCTCCCGAGAGCGTGAGCACTTGGCAGTCCTTTTTTCAGAGCAAAATTACAGAGATGTGGGACACTTACAGACACTGCCCTTGGGGGGATGCCCCTGCAGTCGTTATGGTGGTGGTAGGAAGCTGGAGCTTGCGGGATGCCACTTTTGGCTTTGGAGTCCAAAACCTACAAAAGTGGTGAACACCTAATGTCACAGCCCCAAAGCCCTAACAGCTAGACTGCTCCGCTAGTACTGGCTGATAAGCTGGTGGGATGACTGGTTGATCAAGGAGTAACCTATAGATACCATACTAGGGGAAGCATGCTGAAAGAAAGGTGTAAGATTAGCTCCACAGAAAATGCCTGGAGTCCAGATTCATGTTCATCCTTGTAAAAAAGTGTCCAAAACGTCTGGAAATTCTCCATGCTCCTACCCTACACACTAGGAATAACAGATGTTCCAGAAGGAAAATGAGTATAGGCTGAAGTGGGACAGAAATCTAGAGCTGTGAGTTAAGCAACTGCAAGCGCAGTAAAAAGGTCAGAGCTCAGTTGCTGTTGTTACGGCTGTGGAGCAAGCCCTAGGACAGCGAAGCTGTCTGGTGTGTCATCTTACTCCCCAAATGGGGAAATGCCCACACTGCCACATGTGAACATGGTCCACGCACCCCCACTTTTGGCTGTAAATGAAGACCTACAGCTACTGAACTCATGGCCCTACTGGTACCTTCAACAGTGGTGGTAATTTTTGCTTGTACAATCTTATGCTAAAGTGAGTAACCTGAACTGCCGTTATGTTCCCAGTTGGTTGTTTTGAAGGGACAAGTCCTAAAGTTTGTAGCAAGTATTCAGATGATGATGGTGTTAGCCCTGACAGGGGTCCACAGGGGTGAGAGGTGGAGTTGGCAGTGCGTATATACTCAAACTGTTGGGGCTTTCTTAGTTACGTGTTTTGCAGAAACAAAGTGTGAAGTTTGTAATAAGCACATGGTCAGACTGTTTAATATTGACCTCCGTAGTCTTGTCCACAGGGATGAGGAGGGGAGGTTTTGAGGAGTATGTATTCAGGCCATGTTACTGTTAACCCCGATACTCCAGTCCTCTAGGGAGAAGGGAAGAGGTTGTAACAGATAACATGTTGCTCAGACTATGGTGATGAGTCCTGTCTTCAGGTTCCCAAGGGAGAGTGGGTGGAATTTTAGTAAGCTGCTGCACTATTAACTGCTGTAGTCTGGTCCAGGGGTGGAGCCTGTGATGGGTATATAACCAAACTGTGATGTTAGCCCCTCTAACGTGGTCCTCAGGATGGAGGAGTGGTATTTTAGTAAGTGTACTGTTACAGTACCGATCCCTACTGTCTGGTCCAAAGGCAGGAAGAGTGGAGTTTGTAACTGCTGTACATTAAGAGTGTGGTGGCGCTGAAAGAGTTCATAATGCATTCACATTCAAAGAGTTCTTTGACATGGGCCCTGCAGAGGTGAGGAGTGCTGTAAATTTCTGGGCTTGCTGTGTTCTTGTGTGCACGCCACACAAGTGCAGGAGCACTGAATAAATTAATGCATGAGTGCCCAATTAATTTATGCATGAATTCCCAATTAATTTTTGCATAAGTGTCCAATTCATGCATGCATGCATGCCCAAATAATTTCTGCCCAAGCACCTCGTTAATACAGGCATAAGCATGCATTTACTTTACATGAGTGCCCAATTGTCACACACATGGGTACTGTGCTGGGCAAAGACGGTAGAGGTTGGGTAGCAAGAGCTGCCGGTGTGACCTGTGTGGGAGAAGGCCATGATCTGCTTCTTGCCAGTCACAGAGATGGTTCCACCTGGCTCTGAAATGGTGTGAGCCACTGAAACTTCAGCCAGTCGAGGGAGCACATGCCACCTTTGCTCAAGTGTATTTAAGAACCAGCAGCAGCCACTGGGAGAGGAGGCACACCTCGCCATGCCTAAGGAGACAGGCAGCTAAAGATGTGTTCCCAGAAGGAGATGCTCCATGCCAAAGGTGTGCACTCCCAAAGGGACTGTAGTCCCCGGGTGACCTATGCCAGGGAAGGGACAGCAGCAGAGGGATTGTGGCCTGTGGATAGCCCATGAGGGAGAAGGCACAGTAAGAAGGAGTGGCAGACAGAAACCATTACACACATTACCACAATGTCCTGTGTCACCCTGAGTGTTGACAGAGTGTGATCTGTGGTGAAAGCAAGGAGAATTGAGACATGGTGGGGCAAAAAGAAGTGTCTGGTTTAAGTGGAGTCTGGAAAAGGGGGAGGAAAGGTGTTTACTTATGTGTTTAATTACCCAACAGTGATCAGAAGTTTCTATTAGCTGGCCATAAATGAAACCAAGTAAAAAAAAAAAATCCCCAAGTTGAGACCTTTGCCAGCAACAAATGCCTGGGCAGAGGCCATGCAGGGATTACAAGGGGTGTCACAAAAGCTGGCACACTTGGCAGAGAGCTTCATAAGCAAGTCAGCAGGACTGCTGAGGGATTTGCAGCTCTGACATCTCTCCTGGAGTATGACCCGAAATAACCCTTTCTCTAAAAAGAAAGGTGAAGATGGAGCAATTGGGACTCTCAACAGCTGGGAAAGGTGTGCTCAGGTCTTCTCAGCAGAGACTCTGCCTCTCTCAGCCCTTGAACAGTGAATAGAAAGGCAGGACTATTTGCTTTAGACTCTTTGCACAGAGTCCCATCTGCGGTGCGCCGCATAACTCCCAGCCAGCTCAAGCCTGCTACAGGCATGGAGGGATGTGCACGGTGGGTGGGAATCCTGGCAGGATGGATGGGGAGAAGAACATGTGATGGTGCCCTGTCAGCCCAGCAAAACGTGGGTCAGGAGAAAGGGCTCAGGCTGCCCCGGCACGTGGCAACCTTATGAGTGGAGCATTTAAGAAATGGCAGGAACTGGGGGCAGGTCTTCCAGGCTATCATTCAGGATACAGAAAAAAGCCGAAGTAGCAGCCAGCTGCCAGTGCTGTTCTGTCTCTGTGGCCCAAATTCCACCCTACAGTTAGTGTGAAATGCCAAAACCCAGCTTAGTAGCAGCTGTGAACTGCTGAGTGACCACAGTAGAACTGCAGCGTTCACACAAAACCTGTGAAATCTCAAAAGGGTTAACAAAAGCAAATTGGCCATAAGTGAACAATATTGTGTGAGGTCTCTGTTCCTGCTTGCCTTATTTCTTTTCTCCCATAAAAGAAACTTAATAATTGCCTTTCAGAAATCCACAGCTCTGATCCATGTTCCTCATGAAAGTAGGTAAAAATGTAAAAATAAACCAATATATAAATAACATAAAAGTAATGAAACTGAGTACACAGATTTCATACAAAAATGGGACCAACTTGACATATTCATTACAAAAACAATTACTCTCATGACTGTATTCCCTGCTACAGCCCATCTCACCTTACCTGTCAATTTTAACTGTTTGCTGGAGGCTCAGGTTCTCCAGCCAAAATGTGTAATTTTGAGAAGATGAAGTGACAAGTAGTCTGATTCTGCAGCGAGCACACTGAGCTGTGGAGCAGAATTTGACAGCTGCCACCTTAGTCCTTTGGCCCACTGGTACAATAAGCTTTCTCAAACTTTTCCTGCAACTTTCACCAGCTCTGTGGTGGCCAGGCCCTAAATGACTATGTTGCACTGAGATCCAGGCAGCACGCTTGGGCTGCTCTGCGATCTCTCAGGGGACTGCCACTAACTATGTGCCTGACCAGCATCAGGCCTTTCCCACACTCTGGCTGACACACGCACAGGGTAACAAAGGATGATAAGTTAGAGTAGTTCAGATAAAAGGTTGCCAGCACCTCTGTCTAACTGGCAGCTGCCACTTTTAAATTATGATATAATTACTAGTGCTGTCCACTCAGACCATTTGTTCAGAGGCTTCAATAACAAGCAGATTCACTGGTGGACAAAAAAAGCCCCAAAACTGTACACTGCTTCTGGGAACTGGTATATGAACCCAGAGTGAATCAAAGCTCAGAGGTATGCAGCACATCTTTCTGGTGCATCATTTCAGCTTGTCTCATATGTAGATGAAGTCTTGTGCAGCTCTTTCTTCTGCAAATAAACAGTTGTGATATTGAAAGCAAAAGCATGCTGAATCTCCAGTGCCAAAAGAGTCTTGCAGGTAAACCTGGTGGAAAGCCAGTCACATTGCTCCCCTAAGCAATCCACTGGCTGTCCTCAGGGTAGCCAGATCCCTGCAGACAGGTGTGCTTTTAACTGCTCCAGATGCAGCCCCATATGAGATTAAAAAAAAAACCAAACCTTGCACATTTCTCACTAGCTTCTGAGCTGAACCCCAGAAAGAGGCACACAAGCTCAGGTAAAGTAGGAAGGGTATATGTCACTCAAAGACATGTATATCCTCCTCAGGCAGAAGGTAGAGGTATCCCTGTCCCCTTTTCATCCTATTAGATGCAGAAAAATCCTGGCTTTAAAAATCTGTCAGGATATACATGTTCTTCTCAAACTACAGTATTCACTGTATACATTTGCTTGTTAAGAAATATCTTTTTTTTTTTTTTTTCCCCTGCAAAAACAAATGCCCTTGGAACTTGCCAAAACTCATCACAAGCTTTTTTACCCTTGGAAAACTCTTTACTATCATATCTCATCCTTTTGTCCAATCGATTTTCTTCTCTTCGTAAGTCTTCTTCAGGAAGTAGCACTGAACTGTCTAGTCAGCACAGACTATCAGGTAAAAGTGCAGCATCCACAAGCTGCTTCCCCATTTTCACATAGGCTTCTCTTTTAAAGAGCCCGGGTTTTCTGCCAGACCAGGAAAGCTAATGGCTTCATTTGTCTCCAGGTCTCTCCTGCACAATGTCTACCACGAGCCTTCCTTAGTCTCCATTATTATTGCAGTCTAGGAGCTAGTATCTTCATCAGTGCCATAGACAGTGGGATCGAGTTCACCCTCAGCAAGTCTGCAGATGACACCAAGCTGAGTGGTGCCATCAACATGCCTGAGGGACAAGATGCCATCCAGAGGGACCTGGACAAGCTTGAGAAATGGGCCTATGTGAACCCCATGAGGTTCAATAAAGTGAAGTGCAAGGTGCTGCACATAAGTCGGCGCAACCCCCAGTATCAATACAGGCTGGGGGATGAAAGAATTGAAAGCAGCCCTGCCGAGAAGGACTTGTGGGTACTGGTGGACGAAACGCTGGACACGAGCCGGCAATGTGCGCTCGCAGCCCAAAGGCCCATTGTATCCCAGG